CCTGCATTGCCACCTTCAGGGTACAATGGACCTGAACACCCAGATCTCTCTGTGCATCAATTTTCCCCAGGGCTTTTCCATTTACCACATAGTTCGCTCTTGAATTGGATCTTCCAAAATGCATCACCTTGCGTTTGCCTGGATTGAACTCCATCTGCCATTTCTCCGCCCACCTCTACAATCTATCTATATTCTGCTGCATTCTCCAACAGTCCCCTTCACTTTCTGCTACTCCACCAATCTTAGTGTCATCTGCAAACTTGCTAATCAGACCATCTGTACCTTCCTCCAGATCATTTATGTATATCACTAACAACAGTGGTCCCAACACGGATCCCTGTGGAACACCACTGGTCACAGTTCTCCATTTTGAGAAACTCCCTTCCACTACAACTCTCTGTCTCCTGTTGTCCAGCCAGTTCTCTATCCATCTAGCTAGTACACCCTGGACCCCATGCGACTTCACTTTCTCCATCAGCCTACCATGGGGAACCTTATCAAACGCCTTACTGAAGTCCATATATATGACATCTACAGCCCTTCCCTCATCTATCAATTTTGTCACTTCCTCAAAGAATTTTATCAAGTTGGTAAGACATGACCTTCTCTGCACAAAACCGTGCTGCCTATCACTAATAAGCCCATTTTCTTCCAAATGTAAATAGATCCTATCCCTCAGTACCTTCTCCAGCAGCTTCCCCACCATTGACGTCAGGCTCACCGGTCTATAATTACCTGGATTATCCTTGCTACCCTTCTTAAACAAGGAGACAAAGATAGAAAGATACAGAGATAGAAACCAGTCTTCTAACCCATTGGAAGAGATCTGCCAAATTAGTTAAATGGCACAACTTTGAAATCATTGGTTTACCTATTTAGTATTGAGAAATCTCTGTAATGTTCCTGCAGGCTAACGTTCATGGGTTCGTAAGGGTGAGTGCTTTAACAGTTTTCCTTTCGGCTGACTGTAGATGTGACAGAGTGGATATGATCTCATGAGGGAACTGTGGTATCCAGGAGATCAAGTCGTAAATCAAAACTTTTAATGGGACTGAGGCAAACTATTGCTGTCAGTATTACAGAATCTACCTGTAATGTCAACAGGAAATATTAGACAAAAGCAGCAATTTAGGGTACTACAAGACTGGATAGTATTTGTGTAAACATGTTCAAGTATAATTGCAATTGCCTTATTCGTACGTTTTAGGTTGAAGTCACATTAAATGGGTACAATGAGGTCAAACAACATTCATTTTGGAACCATAATTATCTCATTTGACTAGCCACCAGCTGTGGCCAGCTACCTTTTCTTGGGTTCATATTGTTTGAAAGATTGCAGCCAAATAGAAACGTTACAGGGCTAATTCTAGTTGTATTACATGGTACAATCTACCAGAATTATCACTGCAGCTGGGAAGCAGCAGGTTGGTATGAGTAATTGATTGGCATTCAGCTGGCAGGACGACTCAGTGCATGCGTCAGATCATTACCTTCTGGTGAGATTTGTGACAGCTATCAGTGTGAACAGTTAATTATTACCTTGTGACAGCTATCAGTGTGAACAGTTAATTATTACCTTGTGACAGCTATCAGTGTGAACAGTTAATCATTACCTTGTGACAGCTATCAGTGTGAACAGTTAATTATTTCCTTGTGACAGCTATCAGTGTGAACAGTTAATTATTTCCTTTGGGTCGATTGTTACCAATGAAAAATCTATTTGACTGTGATGGTGTGAAATTATAATCAGGACTCTAAGGGAAAATGACTTGCATTTGTGTAGCATCTATTGTGACTTTGGGATACCCTTCACTGTCAATGATGCCCTTTTGCAGTACAGTCACTGTGGTAATGTAAGGATCATGACAGCCAATTTCTACACAGCAATGTACAAGTGAGCAGTTTCAGTTATATTGGTTGAAAACTGAGTGTGACACAAGGCACTGGCCTTGATCATTCATATCCATCTGAGGAGGCAGGAAAAAAGGATCTCGTGAATAAGGGAGAAACTCCTGGCCTGCTGTGTTCATCCAGCTCTACACCTTGTTATCTCAGATTCTCCAGCATCTGCAGTTCCTACTATCATCTGAATAAGGCACTTCCAACAGATCTCCCTAACTTGATTGAGTTTGTTGAAGAAGTAACAAAGAGGATTGAGGGCAGAGCTGTGGATGTGATCTATATGGACTTCAGTAAGGTGATCGACAAGGTTCCTATGGTAGACTGGTTAGCAAGGTTAGATCACATGGAATACAAGGAGAACTAACCATTTGGATACAGAACTAGCTTAAAGATAGAAAGCAGAGGGTGGTGGTGGAAGGTTGCTTTTCAGACTGGAGGCCTGTGACCAGTGATGTGCCACAAGGATCGCTGCTGGGTCTACTGCTTTTCATTATTTATAGAAATGGTTTGGATGTGAACATAGCAGGTGTGGTTAGTAAGTTTGCAGATGACACCAAAATAGTGGACAGTGACAAAGATTATCTCAGAATACAACCGGGACCTTGAACAAATGGGCCAATGGGCTGAGGAGTGGCAAATGAAGTTTAATTTGGATAAATGTGAGGTGTTGCATTTTGGAAAGGCAAATCAGGACAGGACTTACCATTATATGTATAAGGTTCTGGGCAGTGTTGCTGAACAAAGAGACCTTCGAGTGCAGATTCACAGTTCCTTGAATGTGGAGTTGCAGATAGCATAATGAAGAAAGTGTTTGGTATGATTGCCTCTCTTGGTCAGTGCATTGAGTATAGGAGTTGGGAGGTCATGTTGCAGTTGTACAGGACATTGGTTAGGCCGTTTTTGGAATACTGTATAGAACATAGAACATTACAGCGCAGTACAGGCCCGTCGGCCCTTGATGTTGCGCTGACCTGTGAAACCAATCTGAAGCCCATCTAACCTACGCTATTCCATTATCATCCATATGTTTATCCAATGACCATTTAAATGCCCTTAAAGTTGGCGAGTCTACTATTTTTGCAGGCAGGGCATTCCATGCCCTTACTACTCTCTGAGTAAAGAACCTACCTCTGACATCTGTCCTATATCTATCACCCCTCAATTTAAAGCTATGTCCACTCGTGCTAGCCATCACCATCCGAGGGAAAAAGGCTGTCGCTGTCCACCCTATCTAATCCTCTGATCATCTTGTATGTCTCTATTAAGTCACCTCTTAACCTTCTTCTCTCTAACAAAAACAGCCTCGAGTCCCTCAGCCTTTCCTCATAAGACCTTCCCTCCATACCAGGCAACATCCTGGTAAATCTCCTCTGCACCCTTTCCAATGCTTCCACATCTTTCCTATAATGCGGCGACCAGAACTGTACGCAATACTCCAAGTGCGGCCGCACCAGAGTTTTGTACAGCTGCAACATGACCTCATGGCTCCGAAACTCAATCCCTCTACCAATAAAACCTAGCACACCGTACGCCTTCTTAACAACCTTATCAACCTAGGTGGCAACTTTCAGGGATCGACGTACATGGACACCGAGATCTCTCTGCTCATCCACACTACCAAGAATCTTACCATTAGCCCAGTACTCTGTATTCCTGTTACTTCTTCCAAAGTGAATCACCTCATTCAATTCTGGTCTTCCTGCTATGGGAAGAATGTTGCGAAACTTGAAAGGGTTCAGAAAAGATTTTCAAGGATGTTGCCAGGGTTGGAGGGTTTGAGCTATAGGGAGAGGCTGAATAGGCTGGGGCTATTTTCCCTGGAGTGTTAGAGGCTGAGGGGTGACCTTATAGAGGTTTATAAAATCATAAGTGGAAATGGATAGGGTGAATAGACAAGGTCTTTTCCCTGGGGTAGTGGATTCCAAAACTAGAGGACATGGGTTTAAGGTGAGAGGGGAAAGATTTAAAAGGGTCCTAATGGGCAACTTTTTCACGCAGAGGGTGGTGTGTATATGGAATAAGCTGTCAGCGGAAGTGGTGGAGGCAGGTACAATTACAACATTTAAAAGACATCTGGATGGGTATATGTATATGAAGCGTTTATAGGGCTATGGGCCAAATGATGGCAAAAGTGACTAGATTAATTTAGGATATCTGAATGGCATGGACAAGTTGAACTGAAGGCTCTATTTCCAGGCTGTACAGCTCTATGACTATGACTACTGCCCTGAAATGTCAGTCTCCATCTCGAGTTCAACCCTCTGCAGGGGAACTTGACGGCAAAATATTTCCAACTTGGAGGCAAGAGTACTCCCAACTAAGCCAAAGCTAACACCTTGAGCTATGAGGATGTGAAGGGAGTTGTAGCATTGTGCCATCTGGCATCCCATTTGGATTTACTGAGCATTGTATTCAGATATTCAAATTAATTGGTTGTCCGTGATGCTTAGTCCATGTTCGTTGTCTTATGCTAACTCTGATTCTTCAGGTGAAGCTTTACATTCTGTACAAGGATCAGTTATCTGGCTAATAATCAAGGTATGCATACTTTGTCATTGTATGTTTTAATAGCAGTGTTGCATAATAATATGTGTGTTTATATCTGTCTAGAATCCGTGGCATCTGCTTAAAGAAGCTGACAAAATAGTCATTAAAAACCAATAATGTAAATTTAATTCTTTATAATCATCTATCAATTAACACTTCAACTATCTTTCTTCATATATGTACACTTAATGTACTGTAGCACCAAAAGCATTATTTTTCATTCAAATGTAAGTTGTAGAATTTCAATCTGAGCTGTGATCAGGAAGCAACAGTCCTAAAGAGGTGTCTGTGAAAGTTCACTTTTTTTGCAGTCCTAGTTTTCAATATGAACAGATGTATACTGAATTGCTTATTGGTAACTGAACCTAACTTCGCTTTATTGCTTTCTGAGATCTATAACAGCAGCATTAGGTTCTTGTGGCTTCTGAAAGTCATTTCATTTAAGGTAATGCTGATACATTGATCAGAGTTCTGCTGAACAAATAGAATTCTATTCTCTTCAATTCTATAAGACAATTAATAACCACCATTTAATATTTTCCTTCCAACAGTGGCTTTTCACAGTCCCACACTGAAGATTAAAAAGGAGCCACAGAGTCCCATTTCCAACCCGAACTTGTCCTGCCGCCACAAGCAATCATTCCAGTACAACAATGGGGAACAGTGCCTTTATGCCAGGTTAGTGTTATAGGTAGTCACTGTAATTGTGTGGCAGAAAGATTTAATGTTTCATGCACATTCTACTGTTCCTAAAGGGTTATAAAGTACTGACCTTCATCCTTTATTGAGCAGAGGCTGAAAGAGTAAGCAAAAGAACAGTTTTTGTATCTTAGTGAAAATTATGTTGCTGGCTTCCATGCCAGAATTTAATTAGGGGTCAAAGGGTATGGGGCAAAAGTAAGAACAGGGTACTGAATAGGATGATCAGCCATGATCATATTGAATGGAGGAGCAGGTTTAAAGGGCTGAATGGCCTATTCCTGTTCCTATTTTCTGTGTTTGTATGATTACAAATATGGATAGCTCTGATGTTTTGATTTTATTCCCAATTACTCCCAAATTCAAATCCTCTTGTTTCTTTGAGAAAACTCTCATAAATGACTTCACTTCCCTATTGCCATTACATGTTGTAATTTTTATAAGATTCATTCATTAAAGTTATGCCATTGCTATTATTTTCTTCCTGTGGTTAGATCTAAGTATAAGGCCAAGGACTATAGTTTGAGACAGAGCAGGAAGAGTGACATAGAAGGTGAGGTAAACAGTAGTATGAGGGCTATTTCTGTTTTTTTTTTGCTTCATCTCCCTATATTCGGTCCTATAAAAATACATAGGCAGGCTGTGTGGAAATTTGGACTTAATAAAGGAAATTAAAAGACAATAGGTGACCTTAGCACAAGCTCTCAATGTAAAATTAATTTGCACATCCGCACAAGCATAATATTAAACATTTCCTAGGAATTCAGTTCCAACATTTGTAGCTATTTCTGATATTAATAGGATTGTTTTTTCCGAAGGAAGTGGAACATGTGGATAATTCTGTTTTTTTTTTAAACTTAGTGGCAACTTCAACTTCATTCTGCTAGAGATAGCTAGCAATTAATACATCAGCTATTTTATTCATATTAATCTATAAACACTTTTATGAAATGAGTCAGGGTATGCCTGCATAATAAAAGTATATAGTTATTGGCATTCTGCCATTGCTGGTATTTAATGCAAAGCCTTAATCTACAAATGTGGTCTGGTAGCTTTGCGAGTGATGTTTCGATTGGACTAGGAGACTCCAGATTCACTCAGAGATAGTAAGAGCTGCAGATGCTGGAATCAGAGATAACACCGTGTGGAGCTGGAGGAACACAGCAGGCCAGGCAGCATCAGAGGAGCAGGAAAGTTGACGTTTTGGGTTGGGACCTTTCAGAAATGGGGGAGGGGGAAGGGAGCTCAGAAATAGATAGAGAGAGGAGGCGTGGAGCTGGGGAAGGTAGGTGGGATGGTGATAAGTGAGTGCAGGTAGGGAGTGGTGGGGATCGGTTAGTGAGGTGGGAGGAGCGGATAAGTGGGATAGAAGACGGACAGGTTGTGTCAGGTCAAGGAGGCGGGGATGAGAGGGAGGGTTTGTCATGGGATGAGGCCGGGAGTGGGGAGATTTTGAAACTAATAAAGCCCACATTGAGACCATTGGGTTGTAGGCTCCCGAGGCAGAATATGAGGTGCTGCTCCTCCAGTTTCCGGGTGGTGTCATTGTGACACTGGAGGAGGCCCAGGATGGACATGTCACCCAGGGAGTGGGAGGGGGAGTTGAAATGGTTCGCGACTGGAAGGTGTTGTCGTTTGTCGCTTGTCGCTTGTCGCGAACAGAACGTAGGTGCTCTACAAAGCGGTCTCCAAGCCTCTGCTTGCTCTCACCGATGTAGAGGAGGCCACATCGGGAACAGCGGATGCAGTAGACCACATTAGCGGATGTGCAGGTGAACCTCTGCCTGATGTGAAAGGTTTGTTTGGTTTCTTGGATGGAGGTGAGGTGGGGAGATGTAGGGGCAGGTGTAGCACTTTCTGTGGTTGCGGGGAAAGGTGCCGGGGGTGGTTGGGTTAGTGGGGCAGATGAGGGGGTCATGGAGAGAGCGGTACCTACAGAAGGCAGATAGGGCTGGGGAGGGAAATATATCTTTGGTTGTAGGGTCAATTTGCAGATGGTGGAAGTGGCAGAGAATGATACGTTGAATCCGGAGGTTAGTGGTGTGATACATGAGGACAAGGGGATTCTGTCTTTGTTTTTGTTGGGAGAGGGGATGTGAGGGCAGAGGTGTGGGAAATGCAAAAGATGCAGTCGAGAGCATTTTCGACCACTGAAGGAGGGGAGTAGCAGTCCTTGAAGGAGGGGAGTAGCAGTCCTTGAAGGAAGAGGACATCTGGGATCTCTGGTGACCGCCTTGAAACCAACATTTAATTCAAGCCTACCGACTACCACAGCTAGCTCACATATCACCATATTTCCCTCCGTCAATGTGGTCTATTGCATCCGCTGCTCCCAATGTGGCGTCCTCTACATCGGTGAGATCAAGCAGAGGCTCAGAGACTGCTTTGTAGAGCACCTACGCTCTGTTCGTGAGAAACGACAACACCTTCCAGTTGCCAACCACTTCAACTCCCCCTCCTATTCCCTGGGTGACATGTCCATCCTGGGCCTCCTCCAGTGTCACAATGACACCACCCGGAAACTGGAGGAGCAGCACCTCATATTCTGCCTCGGGAGCCTACAACCCAATGGTCTCAATGTGGACTTTACCAGTTTCAAAATCTGGCCTCCCCCGGCCTCATCCCATGACAAACCCTCCCTCTCATCCCCACCTCCTTGACCTGACACAACCTGTCCATCTTCTCTCCCACCTCACTGACAAATCCACACCACTACCTACCTGCACTCTCCTATTACCATCCCACCTACCATCCCCAACCCCACCCCTTCTCTTTCTATTTATTTCAGAGCTCCCTTCCTCCTCCCCCATTTCTGAAGAAGGGTCACGACCTGCAACATCAACTTTCCTGCTCCTCTGATGCTGCCTGGCCTGCTGTGCTCCTCCAGACTCCAGATTCAGTCTTTTTGTCTCAACTAACTTTTGTACCATAGGCCTCCCAATATCTACAGTTTTCCAACTTCATTTGAGGCATGGAGCCAGCTCAACTCAACCTGCTTCCTCACAGGTTGACCACAGAATAGCATTGACCAGACTTGTGGAGATACCTGGGGCCAAAAATATTTTGTTCCACACCAGCAATGGTGGAATAGATGATGGGCAAGAGGGAAAAGGTATCTGTGCAAACTGACAGAAGGAAAGCTATGAAATATAAAGTTAAAGTCGCCATGGTCTCATCAGACAGTAGAGATGCTCTTGTATTAGAGAGAGATGACTGGTTCAACTTGAGGGTCACCATGCTTCAGTTAAGGGGGAGGTTGAGAAAGAAAATCCTTCATGGTAACCTCAGCTAGTACAGGCATTCAACTACGCTGTTGGTGTCATTCTGCATTGCAAACCAGCTGTCCAGCCACCTGAGCTAACCAACCCGTGTATATACAACTTCACTCAAAGCGTAGATTGGGATCCAGCATCATGTGACAGATGCTGTGCATCACATTCCTCATCAAGCAGTGTATTAAACATTAAATGGTGAAACTACATTACAAAATAACACTTTGACATGGACTAGCATTCAGGCTTCTGTGTAAAATGTACAGATATTTGAGCAATGCATCAAGTCAAATTCTTCTTACCTTTTTAAAGCTGAATTCAGCCAAAGTTCATGCCACAAACTACCTATATCATTGAAACCTTCCTGAGCCACAGAAACTGCTTCTTTTTGTCCTAACTACTTTTGAATATTCAGGCAGAATGCATTGCAATCCTTGCTGTTTTATTCATGGCTCTGATAGAAATAGAGAAGACAGCAATACATAGGTTGACATTCCTTCGCTATTTCCTGTATGTTGATTGTATCTTTACTTCTAGTCAAATTTGTTTTGCATTTACTAGTACTCTCAATGCCGGAAGTCATTGTCGACAGACCTTCCATGTGAATATGATTCAATCCACTACAGGATACATTAGTAATGGATGAATGAGGAATTTTTCATGCATATTATAACCCATTATTAAAGCAAGCTAAAAATTTTGCGTTAAGCTCAATTTCCTCTTGAAGGCGAAACTGGCATTGCATAGTCTCAGTTTTGTATGTGCATGTTGGCTGAAATTGCTAGTATTAATAGTAATGGGATGTGCCTGGTGACTTGTTGCAGTTGCATGAAGCAACAACACCTACAAAATAATCTCAAAGGCAAGGCTCACTAAGCTTGCTTCTATACACAGCACAACTGAAGGACCCTGTATCAAGATTGTTTATGTTATATGTTTATAAGTTAAAATGAGGATTTTGATGTGACACTTCTATTTCAGCAGCCATTATGCAAACCACCGGTGATCAATGTATTAACAACACCTACTACACTTGTATGCTAGATGTGGAAAGTAAATTGAGATACTCTATGATGCTGGCTTCAATTTTTGTATTTCAAATGCAGCAATCTAACAGTAAAAGTTGTAGTATTGAACTAAACTTTGGTGCCCGGACCCACAGCATCTTAAATAACAGTATCCGTTTCTATTTATATAAATTATTTGGATGTGAATATAGGAAGCACGGTTAGTAAATTTGCAGATGACACCAAAATAGGTGTTGTAGTGGACAGTGAAGAAAATTAACTTGAGTACAACAGGACCTTGATCAGGTGGGCCAATGGGCCGAGGAGTGGCAGATGGAGTTTAATTTCGGTAAATGTGGGGTGTTGCATTTTGGTAAGGCAAATCAGGGCAGGACTTACACAGATAAAGGTTGGGTCCTGGGAGAGTATTGCCGAACAAAGAGACCTTGGAGTTTAGGTGCGTCGTTCCTCGACAGTGGAGTCACAGATAGACACGGTGGTGAAGAAGGCATTTGGCACACTTGCTTTCATTGGTCAGAGCATTGACTATAGGAGTTGGGCTGTCATGTTGTGGCTGTACAGGACATAGGTGAGGCCACTTTTAGAATACAGTGCACAATTCTGGTCGCGTTACTAAAGGAAAGTTATTTTTAAACCTGAGAGGGTGCTGAAAAGATTTACAAAGATGTTGCCAGGACTGGAGGGTTTGAGCAAGAGGGAGAGGCTGTATAGACTGGGTTGTTTTTTTCCTGGGAGTGTTGGAGGCTGAGGGGTGACCTTGTAGAGGTTTATAAAATCATGAGGGGCATGGATAGAGTGAGTATCCAATGTCTTTTCCCCAGGGTTTAAGGTGAGAGGGGAAAGATTTAAAAAGAGAGGTAAGCTATTCGCAGAGGGTGGTGCGTGTATGGAATGAGCTGCCAGAGGAAGTGGTGGAGGTGGGTATAATTATAACATTTTAAAAAGCATCTGGATGGGTCTGTGAATAGGAAGGGTTTAGAGGGATTGGGACCAAACGTTGGCAAATGGGACTAGCTCAGATTGGAATGTCTGGTCAGCACGGATGAGTTGGATCAAAGGGTCTGTTTTCCATGCTGTATAACTCTGACTCTATCACACTCCACTCACCTCTCATTTATACAGGATTGAGAGGAAAAGAAAAATCAGAAGGAGAGAGCATAGAAAAGTTAGGCCAAATGGAGTGCATGATCCAAAAAGTTTCCTGGAGACTTTAGCAAAGAAAAGATTGACAAGAATCTGGGGAGAGGGTTCCAAAGAACAAGGTTTCAGTAATTCAGTGTGGTGAGGCATAAAGAATAGCGAAACCGTGAGGAGCAGATGTGTAACAAGGATCTATGACTGAAGGATATTGCCAAAGTAAGGAGTCAGTGCCACAAAAGGATTTTAAAAAAAAAACACTGGTCCTAACATCAACTTGTCTGGAGTAGGAAATCGAATGGCAGAGTCAGTGGAATAAGGCAGTGATGGAGTTCATGTCAATAGAGGAGCTGAGACTGAGTTATAATATCTCTTTAAAGGGTATCTGGCTGTGAGACTGTCTAAGTTAAATCTCAAGGTGTAAAAGAAATATGAGTTACCATCAGAGATGATAGGCTGAAGGTCAATGATACAGCAGAGGTGGAGAAAGTGAATTTGTGATCTGAAGCAAGTCGAATGCAAGAAGCACGTGCTTGGAATTGGCATGCGTTGGCAGCAAGGGAGCCTCTTGAAATCCATGCTAGAAGCATGTGTTTGATATCTAGAATATAGACTTGGCCACTATTCAGCTGGATACAATTGCAGCTCCTCTCAGTCTTCCTACTAGGCACATGATTTAGAAAGTATACATACAGCTTTGAGACTGATAGATGGGAGTGTGGAGAGATGGACTTGATTCTTGTTTGTGTCTATGTAAATGCAGGATTTATGCTTAATGATGTAGTTGAGATATACATTTAAATGATGAGGAAGGAGTCAAAATGGAATCTTTGAGATGACTTTGGAAAGAAATCATTTGATGAGGTATGATTCATGGCATGCTGAAGGAATGTCCAAAACATAAAAATGTGCATCCTTTAATTGCAGGATAGATATAATCAACCATTACTAAGATATTAAAGGAAACGTTTGGCTGATCTAGTCATTTTTTTCATTTTACGTAGTGCCTATGAGAAAAAGCCGCATGTTGGTCTCAACTCCCCACCTCCAGGGACCCCTTCAAATACTCCGTTACAACAAGCCTGCAATAAGTCCACGGTGAATCCCAGACGGGATCACAGCTTTGTGAACCTCCATACACCCACACAGTCCATAGCCAATGGCCGATTCCCAATGGAGCACAGGTACAGATTTGAAGATATCCTATCGACTTTGTATTTCATAGATTTGATTCAAAAATCAATAAAATCATTTGAATGTTTTTATGATGAAATTTCTCTACCTCCTATGATTGGTTACTGGTGATAACAATTGGAGTTTCTTTACCATGCCTCTGTTGGTTTTGTAGTTAGCCTAACATAATTTAATGTAACACAATAAAATTTATCTGAAGCATTTTGTTTTGAATCCAGTAGCAATTACTAGAGGGAGTACTATTTGAGTTAAGTTTGGAAATTTCCAATCTTAAAAAAGTTTCATGCTATCATTTTTGCAGCATTTGTCTCTGAGCGTTTGTTTTGAGCTGAGGAAGATTTGTATTTGGTTGAATTTGAGAGTGCCTGGAATATGTTAGCTTAATATGGAACACTTCTGATCCCAGTATAACTGCTTGTTTTGGGTAGAGATTCCTGGGAGTCCTGATTTGAGGAAAACTCAACATTTCTCTGTTAGGTCAGAAGTAGCAATGTTCCTGAAATGCTAACACGTGCTGGCTTTGATGTGGCAGCAGTTCCAAGTTGGGTAGCTGAACAGTAAATTGAAACATAAAACTTCATCAATAAGATCACAATGGGCATATCAGAAAATCATAACATTTTAAGAGGGCCTGAGAAACATTTTCTGCTGACTATATATCCTGAGTTGATGCAAAAGGTTTATTTTTAGCTGCTGTGCAGTTCTGGTTATATTGACAATATAACATGCAAATTATGACCCGATTCTATACTCTGGAGTGTGCAAAGGCTACACTGCATTACGATAGTGAGGAACACGTTCAGTACATCAGCCAGTATTTCTTATTTTCACGATGTTTGATATTTTTTGGGTAAATTATGAAAAAGGTGTTCCTTTGATGTAGCAATATGAGGACATTCAACCCATTTGACCTGTTGAACTATTCAATTAGATCATGGCTAGCTGATAACTTGACTCCAAATAATGTCTTGTTTCTATGACCCTGAATTCCTCTGCATAACCAAAATCAAAAAAAAGACAAGGTTGAGAAGGTGTTGGAGCAGGACCGTCTATGAAGGCATACTCCTGTGAACTCTGGGTGGAGTAGGCTTGGCAGGTTGAATGGCCTTTTCTTACTCTGGTGTTTACATTTTTGCAGCATTTCTAGATTCTTGCTTACATCAAGGTAATGAATTAAGCAAATATATGTACTGCATTTAAAAGACAAACTTGGAGGCAGTTAGAGCAAAGAATAAAGAATAAAGGCGTGTGACCTGAAGAGATTGTCAATTGAAGGTGGGTTGAGTCTATGGAAGTGTTTTGAAAGCAACAAGAAGGATGCTAAAGTCATTTCACTGGGGTGGTATGGGTAAAGGGTCACAAGTCTCAAATGGGTCACTGTGCTTTCTTAATAGTCGATCTGTTATTTGTCCCCAGCTCACAGTTTCAACAACAGCCTTTGGAGCTCTGTCATCGCTTCCCTTCCTCCCAGGGCATGAACAGGGAAGCACCTTTGGCATATCAGCGGCAAATGTCTGAGCCCTGTGTTCCATACCCACAGCAAAGTTACAAGCAGGAGTATCACGACCCAATGTACGAGCAGGGAAACCCAATCAGCAGTGGCAGCATGCATCGTTTCTCACACTCCATGATTATCAAGCAGGAACCTCCAGATTATGCATATGACCCCGGTAAGGCTATGACTTCTATAGATTTGTGCTGTAGTGATGTGGGAGAGAGATGTTTTGACAAAATTACGATGTGGAGATGCTGGTGTTGGACTGGGGTGGACAAAATCAGAAGTCACACGACACCAGGTTATATTCCAACAGGTTTATTTGAAATCACAAGCTTTTGGAGCACTGCCCCTTTGTCAGGTGACAAAGGAAAAGCACTCTGAAAGCTTATGATTTCACATAAACCTGTTGGACTATAATCTGGCGTCGTGTGATTTCTGACTTTGACAAAATTAGACCAGTTCATCGTAGGTGGAACTGAAGAAGCAAGGCAGCAAGGGGTAATCACAGACTCGATGAGCTGAATGTTGTTTAGCACTGAATATAGAAATATTTCTTGTGCCAGTGGAAAGCAACAAATTCCCCCAAATCAAATTGATTGTTTCATGACTTCCTACATTACAACAGTGACACTTTAAAAGTGTTTCATCGACCGTAAAGTACTTTGCAACATTGTGAAGCTGTGAAAGGTGCTATATAAATGCAAGTCTTTTTCTCAGTAAGTTGAGGTCTTCTCAAATGAGTTTTTGTTCTTACAAAATGTTGAGGGTTGGCAAATTGGCAGAAGTGAAGATGGTGAGGGAAGCTGTCAGTATACTTGCCCTTAATTAAGGGATAACATCATTCTCTGCCCAGTTATACAAGAATACATCTTAACCAGTGCTGCTGGGGAATCAAACTGAGTCCCATCTACACTGCTTGAAGCTTCTTGCAGTGTGCAGAAGCCCAGTATTATAACCTTACAGCTATTCTCTTAATATTTGTTCCAACACCATTTAAACCGTCTCAAAGGGATATTTCCACACTTTTTTTTGTCCCACACTTGTTTTGCACCTAATGATCAATATTTGTACAAGTGCTGTTTATTTAGAATCCATCTTGCAGAAATGCTGTTGTACGCATTACAAGCAGAATGGAGACAATTTGGCATTTAGTTTGTTGTTCAATTACATTGGTACAAATCCAGTTACTTTGGCATGAAAGCACCTCCAAGTGATCAGTTTGAAAACACCACCGCCAGTGATTTTGGTGGTTAATAGTGCAATGCAGTATCTCTTAACTTATTTAGCAATTGCAAATCCCTGAAGCTAAGAAATCACCATCTTATTCAGAGTTTGAGGTAATTTAGTCTGCCACTTAGCTTGGAGAGGAGTTACTCCTTGGTAATGTGAAGCAATGTTTGTTTCTCCACAAACACAAGTGGTTTGTACTCGGACCCCACTGATTGAGGTTGCTCTGTAAGGGGAGTGGCTTGTACTAAGCCCTTTAGAAAGGACCACTCTCATTGTGCTCGTTCAAATTTTTCCATTCAACATAAGGTGCTTGTTAATGACTTCTCGTGTTTCCTATTCCTCAATCCAGAGGATGCTGGTAAATCCTGCTTGGGAAGGAACTAAAGAGAATGCTTTTTAAATATTCTGTTTGTTTTTCAATGTATAAAATAATCTCTTTGATATCCAAGGAACTTTCTTCACTAATGTTATCCTTCCCTCTCTTCAATGTTTCAACTCCCTCGGGATGGTTGTTCTGTGATGCCCACCACTACTACACTTTAGTCAACTTTTATGTATAGCATTCAGTAGTGGGTGAATACACTTTATCTGATTATCCTGCCAGATTATTTAAGAGTCGACCACAATTCTATAGGTCTGGAGTCACAAGGACGCCAGAGCAGGTAAAGATTTCTTCTGTGAAAGGACATCAGTGAACCAGATAGGTTTTTATATCAATCAATGCTTCATGTTCACCAAAACTGCACCTAGGTTTCAATTCCAGATTTATGGATGGAATTTAAGATCCAATCAGCTGTCATGGTGGAAATTGAACCCATTTCCCCAGAGCATTAACATCTGGATTACTGTTCCAATGGCATTACCAGCATGGTACCATCTCTTGCCTGTCATCTCAAACAAGAATTTCACAAGTTTGAACACTTGAATGTAGTGTTTGACTGCCGTTTAGTGACGGTGGGGAGAGCACTATAGCTGGCTTCCATGCCTTCAGAATGTGAGAATTCCATCCTTCATCTATTATCCAGTGGCTCTGTTGGAAATTCTACACATGTGGATATTTGTGCACTGACAGCATCTGATCTACAGTGTATTTGGGATTCTTCCCTAATGTTGGTTGAGGCCTTGACTAGAGATGAGAACCATTTTTTTTGAAAGAATAAGGACTGCAATACAAACTCAGCTCATTTGAGGAAACCGCTTTGGAGAAAATTGTACCCTGTGTTTATTTGCAAAATGTAAATACACGGCCTGACTTCCTAATAGGGCTCTGTCAATAAGTGTCATTGTTGGAGTTGAGCCTGTTGTTGCCTGAAGGTACTTTTATAACTTGTGCATTTCCTGAGGCTCTAACCTTCAAGATTTGGGGAACGAAAGCAGGAAATGACAAACAACAGGATTACTACAATTGAAAGTAAGTATGAAATTGGAGAGGTTATGTAGAAAAATAATTCTGGATAGATTTACTTCTGAGGGAAGTTTTTTTTTTATTTTAAGCAACATGAACAGTTCGGGGGGTGCAGTGGTGAAGGTGCTGTTGCCGAGCCAAGGTCAATGGCTGGAGCAACCTCAAAATTCTGGTTATGCCACCAGAAGTGAGAGAGGTGTTTACATCTAGGCCAGTGCTGAATGTAACCCAAGTCACTGGGATGCACGGTCATTAAAGGTCAGATACCTACATACTGCTATCATCCAGCCATTATGACAATGGGGAGACCGAGACAACAAGGTGCAGGGCTGGATGAACACAGCAGGCCAAGCAGCATCATAGGAGCAGAGAGGCTGACGTTTCGGGCCGAGACCCTTCATCAGAAAAGGGGGAGGGGAAGGGGGTTCTGAAATAAATAGGGAGAGAGTGGGAGGCGGATAGAAGATGGATAGAGGAGAGGATAGGTGGAGAGGAAACAAACAGGTCGAAGAGGCGGGGATGGGGCCAGTAAAGGTGAGTGTAGGTGGGGAGTTAGGAAGGGGATAGGTCAGTCCAGGGAGGACGGACAGGTCAAGGGGGCGGGATGAGGTTGGTCAGTAGGAGATGGAGGTGCGGCTTGAGGTGGGAGGAGGGGATAGGTGGGAGGAAGAACAGGTTAGGGAGGCAGGGACGAGCTGGACTGGTTTTGGGATGCGGTAGGGGGAGGGGAGATTTTGAAACTTGTGAAATCCACATTGATACCATTGGGCTGCAGGGTTCCCAAGCGGAATATGAGTTGCTGTTCCTGCAACCTTCGGGTGGCGTCGTTGTGGCACTGCAGGAGGCCCAGGATGGACATGTCGTCTGAGGA